ATTTGTTCTTGCCCATATATTTAGGTATTGTGTTTTTATTATCTCTTCACATAATCCAGCAACTTTTGTCTGATCTGAAATAGTACAGTTTTATGTTCAAAACTAGTTTTCTGGAAGCCTTGTTTCAACTAGTGTACTAGCATGTAATAACTTCATAAATGTCGGAAAATTCTTTCAATTCCTTTACTTGTCATTGAGGATGCTATTTTTGCATTAGCTTGCTGTCGTCGTCTTAAAAAAAAATTATATAGCGAAGGCCAATGATTGCCATAAAGATGTTGCGAAAAAGTGTTGGCTTTTGTGGCATGTTCTCTCAGGAAAAATTTAGGTTGCAGTGTTGCACAAATATCTTCCCTAAGTTTATTGAAAAAAGAAGTTTGCTGCATGGTTCTCAGTTTCTCAAATCAAATATGATTCAAATTGCTAACTTGAAGTTGAATGGTATATTTACTTTTCTCTCCTTACTCAGCAGTAAAGTTGAAGTTGCCTATCAGGAGGCTGTTGCATTGAAAAGGCAAGAGGAACTCATTCGTGAAGAAGAGGCAGCATGGCAGGCTGAAAGTGAACAAAAGGCGAGACGATTAGCTTCAGAAAAGGATAAGAAATCGAAGAAAAAACAGGTGTCACATCAGTCGAATTATTAACTCTCTTTTAATCCATTTTCCTCCGGCCCTACTCTTTTTTCCAACGTTCTCTTTCTGCCTGTATCAATCTATCTTGTTATCAATAATTTCCTCATTATCTTATGTCGTTTCTTTCAACAGGCTAAACAAAAACGAAATAACCGCAAAAGCAAGGATAAAGGGAGAGAAGAACGGACAAATGTGGCTGCACTGATCAGAGAACAAGTAAATCCTTGCAATGGGAAGGAGGAAGATGCCATAGTGGATGAGGTGCAGCCCGTGCTTGAAAAGTCTGACTTACCTGAAGTTGTATCGGATGTCTCTGATTCGGTTGAAGGGGTTGGCGAAGTACTTCAGCCTGATTCAGAAGACAGAGATGCCAATGCTGTTAATTCGGACACGGACACATCAGAAGTTCATCCTTCAACGGAAGCAAGTAGCAGTTGCATTGGTAGTCTGTCTTCTGCACAAACGCCCTTATCCGACAAGAAGCTGTCTATCATGGATGATAGCTCTTCTACATGTTCTACTGATTCTATTCCATCCGTGGTAATGAATGCGTCTTATAAGGAGAATTCCTTTCACAACTACAAAAAGCAGAAATCACCTAGCATGTAAGTGATCAAATATTTCTTTGTAAATGCCTCAGGATATGTAGTGATTTGCATCTTTGATTTTGCAGAGGAAAGAATCGGCAGAAGGATGTAGCATACGATCGGAGCTTTTGTGCCAACGACGTGGATAGTCAGTCATCAATGATTACAGCTGGCATAGAAGACCGAAGTGATGCTTGTGGTAGTAACAAGTCTAAAAAGTCTGATCCTATGGCAGTTAATCATTCTCCCCGGGGTAAAATGAAAAGGGTCGAACAGCAGGCTGCTAAGAAGGTGCGCACCTAACCCGTTTCAAATATATAAATATAAAACTTCTAGACTGAATAAAATGAAAGAGTGCATCAAACTCGAGGGAAAAAAGAAAGAAAAAAAGAAGAGCGTCGTAGATGTTGCCACGTTCAGGCTGCATTCCTTTATTTGTTATTGACATGGTGTGTTATTTTGTGTTCAGATTTTTCTTGAGACTAATTTCTAAATTACTATCATGTTTAATCGGTTCAAGTTCAGACTTTTTCAGTTTCGAGTTCGAGAACGGACTTGGAAGGATAATTCATATTTGATCAAATATTTGTAGTGTCGTGTCCATTTTTAACTTTTAGTTTGTTCTTTCTGTAGGAAGAAAAGGCTATTTCGTTGCCGAAGGAACAAAGCTCTAAAAACCAGGTCGATATGGAAAGGATACTTAGAGATGCGTCGGCAGCGGTACCATCCTCCCCTCAGAACCACCAGGATCATATACCATCGATTGTTGAACAGAGGTTAAGCAATCAGAGTATTGGTACTGTTGATCCCATTCAAAATAATCCATCATCCTCAACTAGCGTACACCAGATGGAGAAGGCTGTGCCTGTAGTTACCTCATCCTATGTGGTAAGTGCAATAAAATCAGAGGCTCAGAAGTCTACAATTCCAAAACCAACTGAAAAGGCTACCTCACAGCAATCTCCTATGATGTCAAGACCTTCTAGTGCACCTCTAATTCTCGGTCCAAGAGCTGCAGCACCTGTTGTTAATGTGGTTCATACATCCCCATTGCTCGCTCGTTCCGTGAGTGCAGCTGGTCGGTTAGGTCCAGACCTTGCTCCAGCAACACATAGTTATGCTCCCCAGTCTTATAGGAATGCCATAATTGGAAACCATGCAACTCCGAGCAGTGCTGGATATGTTCATCTGAGCACTTCATCTACAAGCGTGAGCCCATCTTCAGCCTTCTCTTTGACATCTGCTATGGTTTCTTCACCCATGTTTGTACCACACAACTCTGACAGGTCGGATCTGAGTGCTGTTAGATCGAATTTTCCTTTTGGTATGGTAACTCGAGATGTCTTACCGAACAGTCCCCAGTGGGTAGAGGGTTCACAGAGGGAAGCTGTTAGGAGCATGCATTACAATTCTTCCCTACTTGATGATGTTCAAGATTTATACAAGAAACAAATTCGTGGTTCGACACATGAACTTCTGTCAGCAGAGCTCTCAGCTTGTACGTCTGGTCGACAACTCCAAGGTTTCGCTGAGGAGTTCCCTCACCTTGATATAATCAACGATCTTCTTGATGACGAAAACATTGTTGGGATTTCATCTAGAGACAGCTCAATGTTCAACTCTCTTGGCAGTGGCCCAAGTCTGTTGAACAGACAGTTCTCTCTTCCTGGTGACATGGTAGGGAAGGCTGGCGATATAGGGTCCTCCACGAGCTCTTGCAGGTTCGAGCGGACACAGAGTTATCAAAATGGCAGGTTCCAATGGGGGTATGGCTCGTCCATCAGTCGTTACGAACCAGGCATGGATTTTATTCCACCTTCGAGTCAACAACAACAGCACCTAAATGGCCAGATTGATGGGTTGATTCCAAATTGGCGCGCAGCTTCTGATCTCTCTGTACTTGGGACAAGGTCTTTAGACTTTGATGGTTACCAATATCTTAACCCAGAATACTCAAATATGGCTCATGGCGTCAATGGATACAGTGCGTTTCGACCGTCAGATGGGCACTGACTAACGTAAGAAGCAAACATGGCTGGAATTTGCCTTGCCTTGCCTAGAGTTCGTGAGTACTATCCACTGTAATAATGTACCAGGCAGTTGTTGGGGTCTTGGATTTGGAGTGGGGTTGCTATCCTTCTCATAAGAACACAATTTGTAAAGAGTGTTTTTCCCACCTCTTTTAGCCTTAAATACAAATTTAGTCGTGTTGTTGAGGTTTCGATTACTACCCTTTTCGAGTTTTCTCCCTATTTACTCAACCGGTTAAAGCGCTCGGACACGAACAATATCCTGAAATCCCACCACAGACAAATCCCTGTTGCTAAACAAGCAAAGCAAAACAAAGTTCTTCCCTTTTGACTATGTTGCTGGAAACTTCCTCGAACGAGCCCCATCTCGCTCTTATAATGTTGCTATACATCATGCCTTATGCATACATATCATATCATCAATGTTAGCAATTCAAAGATAACTTGCCATATTAGTAGTTAGGACAGGACGCATTTGCTTATGTCGAGGTTTGGTCAAAACCTTGCAGCTTGTAGAATTATCCAAAAGTTGACACTGTTCTTGTTACTATAAATACCATTGCAAAACCCCAACAACAAACTCAACTTTTCTTACATTAAACTCCTCGAAACGGAAAGAAAAACAAATACAAATATGGGAGTTCTGCACATAACTCTGTCAGTGGCTTTCATTCTTATTCTCTTGCAGCTTCTGCCAAACGCAGCTGGTAGGACGCTGCCTGAGAAGCCAGCAATGGTGAGAAGAAGGGAGCTGGAAATGGAGCTGAAGTTGAAGCTGCAGTCTCTTCAGAGGGTCAGAGTGCCACCCTCTGGCCCCTCCGGTTGCACGTTCATTCCCGGCACCAACGGCCCTGGCTGTCCTCTCGAAGTGAGGCACTACGCTGGCAACGGTTCAAAGCAACGTTCGAGCACACTCCGACGCTATGCCACCCCTGTTCGTGTCGTCGAGGCTCTCATCTGAACCTCTACCCCATCTGCTTTCTTCCATTCAGAATGCAAACAGTTGGTTTTATTGTCCCACTTGAATTCTTGGAAGCTAGAAGATCAGTTAGCCATCATGTAACATATCGAATTCATTGCAAGATTGCTTTGTTATTTGTGTTCTTGTCATGTAAATAAGCAAAATCTTTTCATATAAATTGAATATATTGTCATTTTAAATGTATCACGGTACCATCTAGAAATGTCCAAGCAAAAATTAGGAGAACAAGTGAAAAAAAAATTTATTATTGTTAACTAAATAAGGTCAGAGACAGAGATTATATTTTTTGATTCTATCACATCCACGTCTATTTTTTATAATATTATTTGATTTATAAGAATGCTTTTTTTTTTAATAGAAATTATTTTGAAAAAAAATGAAAATTTTCTAAAAAATATATATTAAAAATTTAGGATTGAAATGAAATTACGTATTGGAATTGGAATTGTGAAGTTTGGTTATTTTAGGCAGAGGAAAAGAACATGAAAAAATTATATATAATATCATATAATATAATATAATCCCATTACTTTCCCCACATAATCATTTACATTAATTTTTTTAAATATCTAAACTTTATTATTTGGAATTTTTGTGTACTAATTCCATGCGTGTACGCATTGTTTAGTGACCCTTCAAATTAATAACGATATCATTTTTATTAAATTTTACTCTAAAATTTTCAAAATCTGATTTTATTATTATTATTATTATTATTATTATTATTTGAGGTTGAAAAGTACAGAATTTAAAAATTATCATTCCGGCGTATAATAAAACTTATTTTATTTAGTAATTAGGGTAATGGGCTTGGGCCTTCCCGTAGCTAAGAGAAATATATTTTTATAGTGGGTTTGGGTTTGGGCTTGGGCTTGGGCCTCAGCCTATTCGAGGTGGGCTTGCAACAAGTCCACGCTTATTGACCCAAATCCGAACCCGATTACAGCGGAAGTCCTTGGTGACGGGGGTTCCCTCCTCCAAAATGACGGCTTTCACGTTCGGATTCTCCCTCTCGATAATGGCCTTGGCGGCTGAGCCGCCCACCCCCACCAGATGCGGCCATGAGCTCTTCCCTGGTCGCCAAAACACATCTCCTCAGACACACACAAACACAAACACAGAGACAAAGAGAAGCGAGGATCATAAGTTGTGAGTGTATTACCTGGACATGAAGACATCTTTTTCTCTTTTCTTTTTACTGCTCTAAGTGGTTATGTTTCGGGTTTCCGAGATGATGATATTTATACTACTTTCGGTTACTTCATATGTTCGTCGTTGTAGTATAGCGGTGAGTGTTGTCCTACCTATCCTCATTTTGGGGCATTGAATTATTTTTATTGTTATGTGACATGACAATAAATGATTTAATGCACATAAATTCATTATTAAAAAATTCAAACTTGTTGACATTGATAAAATCAAATTGCATTAAAGGTAATATGACAAATATGCTGACAAATATGTCATTGGTATGGAACAAATTTAGCTCATTTTCGAGTACATTTTGAATTTCAAAAGAAACTTTGTAATAAAATGAAATATAAATCAATGTAAAATAAAAGTAAAAGATGATAATCTCTGGATTGGTTACCAATGCACACTAAAAAAAAATTGCTGTATAACTTTATAAGTTGTATAAGCTATAGCTCTCAAACTAGGTTAATACTAGACGATAGGTCAACAATCTTCTATATTGTTAATATACATTTTAGTGTAACGAGTCTAATTCTAATTGTTTTGTTTCAAAGTAAATCACGGGACAATTCATCCCATTCAAATATTTTCGCTCAAGAAACACTAAATTTTTCATTTGGGCAGGCCAATAAAAACTTCTTTTGATTAAGTGCTATGACACTTAGCTCCGTAAGAGAAGGTTGAAGATATGCCAATTTATGCCCTAGCCTATACGTATTTCAATAAGATTCTAAAATAACACAAAGTTATCTCATTGGAAACAACGAGTTCTCGTTCACTTAACATAAGAAATTACATATCGATTTTAATAAATCATTCTTCATTAATTTTTATGTAGGGGAGTCGAGGAAAGAGATTAAGAGAATAATAAATACACATATTAAATCATAGATTAAAGCATAAAAGAGATTTTATAAATAAATAATTGGGTTGACAAATATAGTAAACAGGTAAGTCTAATTTAATAAATTTGAAATTTTATAGTAAAAATGGAAAGTTTAAGAAGTATGATATAATAAGACCATTTTAACATGATTGATGATTATCTATTAAGAGTGTGGCTACATTATTAAAAATATTCCAACAAATATTATTAAAAATTGTATTTTTTTTAGAAAAAATAAAAATAAAATTTAATGATATTTTTAATAATGGTTAGATTGTAGTGAGAACCCATTGGGGCGATCAACAATAATTTTTTTTAAATGATTCATAATATATATATATATATATATATATATATATATATATATTAAAAAAAGAAAAATAAATAAAGAATTCATCGTACAACGAAGTGAATGTCACAGTCACGCTCACACGAGTAATTGTAAAGGCGAGCGTCGAATTTGCAGCCTCCAGCGGACGAGTCACGGGCCGGTTTATCCCCGATTCCATCACCACTTCCCTTCCCTTGGAGTCCAATCATTGTCGTCCCCCGCTATCATCACCCACCATGCTTCCTCTTCACCAATGCATCGCCCCCCTCCTACTTCACTTCATCTTCCTCGCACCTTTTTCGCTGGCCATAGCTCAGAATCATGAAGACCCAACCATCAGAACCATGGAGGCTTTCTCCGGCTATCCTCTTCACGAACCCTCCTCCTCTTCTATCCCAAACCCCATTTCTTCTCTCCTCGTCGATGCGGATTCCTTGGTGAAACAGGTATGGACGTAAATGGATCCTAATCGTACTGGGTTTTGATCGGATGTATTAGTTAATCAATTGTTTTGCGGATTTGGGCATTTAGATTGAGGAGCTTTCTACTTTCTCGGATTCTCCTTCCCCATCGGTTACCAGGGTTCTTTACTCTGAAAAGGATGTATTGGCGCGAAGGCATGGACTCCGGCTATTCATCTAATTTCTTTGTATTTCTTCTGTGTTCATTCCAAAATGGGACTGATTATGTGCTTGCAGGTATGTCAAGAACTTGATGGGGCTCTCTGGTCTCTTTGTTAGAGAGGATGCTGTCGGTAACATATTCGGTAGATGGTGAGTGAGTCTGCAATGGTCACCCATGTCATTAGTATTGTATTATGCATAACATCTCTAGTCTTGTTTACTTTATGTAGGGAGGGCTCTGAACCAGAGCTTCCTGCTGTTGCAACAGGCTCTCATGTTGATGCAATTCCATTCTCTGGCAAATACGATGGAGTTGTTGGTGTTTTAGGTGCTTTAGAAGCCATCAATGTCTTGAAAAGGTTTGATATCCTACTTTTACCAACAGTTTTAAAGGGTCTCTCAAACTAAATGGAAGGAACCAGCGGGTAGCTGATATTGTCCACTTTAGGCTTTTCCTTTCGAGCTTTTCCTCCGTTTCCACAGTCTTATAAAAGATGCTTCCTTCTTCTCACCAAACGCTTCGCTCTCTTCCCCACCAAACCAGATAAAATCTTTGTAGTTTTCAAGGGGCTGACTTAGAATTTGGCAGGTCGGGGTTCAAACCAAAGAGGTCTCTAGAAATTATCTTCTTTACCTCTGAGGAACCTACACGCTTTGGAATCAGCTGCTTGGGTAGCCGCTTGATGGCAGGGAGTGATGCACTTGCTAAAGCTTTGGAGACAACTGTTGATGCTCAGAATATATCTTTTATTGAAGCTGCTAGCTCTGCTGGGTACTTGACTGATTCAGCTCAGATATCAACGGTGTTTCTGAAGAAAGGAAGTTACTCTGCTTTCCTGGAATTGCACATAGAGCAGGGGCCCATTCTGGAGGAAGAAGGTATATCTATAGGAGTAGTGACTGCCATTGCAGCTCCTGCTAGTATAAAGGTGGAGTTTGAAGGCACTGGAGGCCATGCCGGTGCTGTACTGATGCCATATAGGTGAAATTATATAGCCATCAACATTTCATTGTTTTTTTTTTTTCATCAGACAATTGGAATCCAAACTTGTTCTTATTTGATCAGAAATGACGCTGGACTGGCAGCAGCTGAGCTAGCACTAGCAGTTGAGAAGCATGTATTGAGCTCTGGATCGATCGATACTGTCGGTACCGTTGGTAATTCTTCATAACCAAGTGTTTATTATGTCTTGTCCTAGCATCATCCTATATCTGCCCACCTTTCCGAACATGATCTTGATTAAATGAAACTTTTCAAGGTATTCTGGAGCTTCATCCTGGAGCAATCAACAGCATTCCAAGCAAATCACATCTGGAAATAGGTTGAGATTTTGTTGTAACTCTTGATTATCTTGTTTAGCTGCATGATGGTCGTGTACTTCATCTTCATTGTTTTTTCTTGTCTGGTAACAGACACCAGAGACATTGATGAAGAACGCAGAAATACTGTCATTAAGAAGATTCATGAATCTGCAACTGAAATAGCTCAAAGGCGACGGGTCAAACTATCAGAATTCAAAATTATAAACCAGGATCCACCAGCACATTCTGACAAATCAGTAATAGAGGCAATGGTTTCTTCAACAAAAGAGCTCAATCTCACACACAAGCTGATGATCAGCAGAGCATACCATGATTCACTGTTTATGGCCAGGTTACAGAGTTTTATCATCAATTCTCTAAATACATAGCTATTAGTTTCTCCGTATTCTTTCAGTGAACAATGCTGAATTTGCATTTTCACTACCTTGCAGGATATCCCCAATGGGCATGATATTCATTCCTTGCTATAAAGGTATTAATCTACTCTGTATCCTCTAGTAAATAGCACAAGTTGGAAGCACCTAACCTTATAATGAGTTGAGCTTGTGCCATCAAGAAAATCTGAGTCAATTTTCATGCTACTGCTTTTGCAGGGTACAGCCACAAGCCTGAAGAATTCTCCTCTCCCCAGGATATATCAAATGGAGTCAAGGTATTAGCCCTTACCCTTGCCAAATTGTCCCTGCAGTGATATCTTATTCCAAATTCCTGTAAAGTTGATTGTTCACGTCCTTGTTTCATTGGAGCCTTGTTCCCTGTGAACTTGTTTACAATAAAGTTTGAATTTTCTCCCATTACTGAATTTTCATGGTGGGTGAGTTTAGAACTAGATGATTAGTGTGTGTGAATGCAAAAGAAAGAGACAAGGATCAGCCTGTTTATCCAATTATATTTGCAATTTGAAGTTGGTAGTTCAATTACAAAGAAAGCAGCCTTACCCAATCTTTATCGACCTCGTTGGGAGTAGTGTGGCTAAAATCAGAAACTACTCTCCTTAGGTTCTATCTGGATTGAATTTGCTTCGACTAAAAGATCTGCAGTTCACTCACCTGTGTTGGATGATGGAAGTTCCACATCGGCTAATTTAGGGAATGATCATGAGTTTATAAACAAAGAATACTCTCTCCATTGGTAACGAGGGCTTTTGGGGAAGCCCAAAGCAAAGCCACGAGAGCTTATGCTCAAAGTGGAGAATATCATACCACTGTGGAGAGTCGTGTTCGTCTAACAACTTGTTCCCTTACAAATATCTAATCTCTTATAGGCTACTCTAGAGGTTAAACAAAGTAGGCAAACAACAAGAAAAGGCAGACGTGTATCAACAATCTTTACTTGTTGTAGCAGTTGTAATGTTTTTTATCTTCTCTGCATTTACCAGTGAAATCTCAATCTAGCACAGATGTTAAAGAACGCATCATTCCAACGAAAGATCCAAAAAATTGAACAGTGGATCAAAAATCTTAGCACTAACCTTAGGTTTCATTACCAGCCTTTCGTTTTCCCCATTCTTCAAACTGACAGAAGATATCGTCAAGTCTACAGATTATTTTCCAAACAAGTGTTTAGAGAGTGCCAAATTCCCAAAGATTTAATGGCAACGGATTCGATAAATTTTCTTACTCTTTTCCAATGCCAATCCATTCTTCTTCAGAATCTCAGAAATCATCACTACAGTTGGATTAGCATAATGGAATCGAATTGCAGGAGTAATTTATAAAGAATTGCGAGGGCGAAGAATGTTGAAGAAAATCAAAATCCCGCGGAATCAGTGTTTGTTTCGACGGCGGCGTTTGGGCAGTTACGGTATACACCGGCAGTTACTGCATTATCCGGTGACTGGTCCGCCCCTGAAATTTTTTGAAAAATCCCAGACTCCCACCTTTAATTTTATGAAATTACAAATATAACCTTAAAAAAATATTTTAATTTTGACTCAATGATATACACTAAAAATTAGATGTAACCAAATATAAATAGCAACATATAACTAATTTACCTAATTTTGTTAGTTAAATAACAGTTTCAACTACCATGTGACAAATTATAATTTGAAGTAAAATGTAGCTAACTATATATTAAAATGATATTGAATTACTATTTCGATATGAAAGTGACGGGTCCCATTGATATTTGGTTGGATATGATTTTTTCGTTCTTCTTTTCCTTTTTTCTTCTCTTTTTCCATGACTACGTTATGCCTCATAATAAAAAGGCTTCTGAAGCAAAAATAATAATAAAGAGATTGAGCGTAAAGTGGCTCGATGTTGAATTGAATCTCTTTAGAAAGATCTTCATTTCGTTAAGCCTCAGTGCTGCCACAGTGGGAAGTAGACGAAAAAACTTATGAGTTTATACGTTTCACACTCGTGCCCATAATATGATCTACTGACCCATAAGAAAATGGCAGGTTCGAGCCTATAACTTGTTCGTCTCATTTTCAGTCAAATATCTTAACTAGTTTAATTATGTTTAGATCCGGATCCAGACATAATTTTAATAAATATCGGTGATACCAAACTTATTAAGTAGGTCATTAAATGGCACTCACTTTTGTACCAAATAACCTTCATTGACAAAAGCTTCCACACAAAAAAGCAAAGATTGGTTCAATTCAATGGCTCTGAAAATTGCAAACACTTCCATGTGGGACTATTTATTTAGCCTTAACTTTGGTGCCTATAACAAGCTCTTGCCTTTACCCCAATCTTACACCATTTTTTCCTCTATTTGTCCCATTTCATTACGGTTTTTAATTTCCCCCACCAAACTCTAAACCCATTTTAAACGTAACGTATCTCGAACATTTCGTACAGTATCGTAGATTCGAACCATAACGGAAAGCAAAATCACTTGCCTTATGTCTCAAGCAATGAAAAACTTGGTTGGATCTTGAGAAGAAGAGCTCATACTCGTTCTTTAAATCACTTTTTAGTGATTCGTGTTGGCTTAGAAGAACCTATGTCGAAAAGCAAATAGAAGCTCCTCTTTGAGGTACGGGGAAGAGAGACAAGAACATCTTTTTTTCCTTTTCTTTTTTAGGTTATGATAAAAGGGTTTGTCTTATATCCTTTAGAGAATATAAACTAACACAAGCAAGACAAGACATTGAAGTAGTTAATTCATGCTTTAGAGTGAGTGTTTGTGTGTGAAAAGCTGTTGCCTTCTCTCTCTCTTTCTCTCTCTCTTCCCTTTCATGTATATAAAGCCTCCTTACAACATCTCTATATCAAATAGTTCCAAATCTCTCTCTCTCTCTCTCTTTCTCGTTTTCTCAGGAAAATTGTTGAGGGGAATGTTGTCTGGTTCGACACCGTTCATTATCGTTCATATGACGGTAACGATGTCGGACCAGGCTTCATTCCCCCCAACTTGAAAAAGAAACGAGTATTGTCATTCTCCTCTCCTCCATAGATCGATGTCGGCCCAAGCTTCATTCCTATCTTAAGTTGCAGAAACTCGAGCAACGGTGAAGTTTTTTTTTTTTTTTTTTTTTTTGGGTTTAAGACATTGATTTTGAAGAACAAAATGGGAAAACCCTAATTTTGTTTACGAGGAAAAGGAGAATAGAAGTGAAAAAGATGTCATAAAATAAGAGGCACATTAGCTTTGCTTGCAGAGAGTTACAAAGAATAATATGAGCTGAAATGAAGAAGCTTTCAAGACCTTTCACTTTATGAGTTGCATGAAAGAGTTTTTTTTTTTTTTTTTTTTTTTTTTTTGACGGTCGTGATTAAAATATTGAAGATTATAATTCTCACTTCCATGAATTATGAATTTTTATTTCTCGAGTAGTTTTATGGGTCGTATGTGTAGCTTCTCGATCGAGATTTAGTAGAAGTTACGAGCAAAGGTATGTAAATATACCTTTTTAAGAAATGCAATACTTCTATTTTAAGATCTTTCGTGATTTTCTTATCGGGTTTTTAGGGTTATTTATCTTGTGAACAATCGAAGACTTAACCGTGAACGTGAACGGGGTTTAGAGTTCAGAGTCGTGTTGGGTCGAAAGAAATATGGGTAAAATATAATGCAATATTTTCAAATTTGAAAAGGTTTAAAAGAAAAGTTTTAAAGGAAATGTTGAAGAAATAACAAAAGGTAATTTCTAAAAAAGAGGGAATAGAAAAGGTTTAAATTTGAGAAAATGACTAATATTTTTTTTCATACCAATATCAAAATAACTATTTTCCATAAATAAAATATTATTTCAAATATAATTTTTTTTTTATTTTTCTTCCCCCAAAACACTGCTTTTTGAGAGATGCCCTTCTTTTTTTTTTTTCATGGCTTGACCAAAGCAAAAGCTTAGAAAAGTTTGTTTTTAAAAGAATGAAAAAAAAAAACCGCGAAGAAATAAAGAATTTTGCGAGGACATAAGTGGAAAAGACTTCTCTGTCTCTGCTCCACTCGGTGGACATCATACTCATAAATAATTATGTATATAAAGACAGAGATTAATTAAATACAATGAATAATCTAATTTACGTAGTAAATATTAATTTATATAAAGACGAGATATTGGCGGTTCAACTAACTAACCATAAACACTCTAATAGTTTATCTCGACCGTAATTTGGTAACATTTAATAATATTGATTTCAATTATATTAAACTATAAATGAGAAGAAAATAAGGTATTTACATTTAAATTTAAATTTAAATTAAATTAAATTTTCTAAAGATGTAGACAGATACATGGATGGTACATGAAAAAGGTCTATGTTGGGCCGAAAGCGGCCCAAGTTGGCCCAATAATTAAAAATCTACCCCATAACCCACCACGCGCGACACATGCACATGGACTACACCTGCTCCCATAACCAATCAATGGTTTGGATTAATATATCTAAAGTGTCCAATCGAAGGTTATCGTTTAGTTCACGCGCCAAAATTCCCGTGAAACAACGAAACGCACCAACTGCTCTCATGCCGCCACGTCAGACAAACAAAATGCCGACCTGAGACCCCCTTCTCTCTCTCTCTTCTTTCTCTGTGTCGAGTTCTTTCGAGAATCTGTCTCTCAGAGGGCAGAACCTTGTGGAATTCGATTACTGAGAGAGGAGACAAGGCGCCCGATTTCATTTTTGGATGTGGTAGTTCCGTTCCAGTTCTTTTGGAAATCATTGAGAGGAATTGAATCATGGAGGAAAGTTTCTTTGATCTTGTTGAGTTTTTGAAGAGGCCCTCGATTGCCGAAACATTTGTCGACATTTTGCTATGTGCAGTTCCGATCTGGCTCGCTGTTATGATCGGCTTGGTTATCGGTTGGTCGTGGCGTCCTCGGTGGACGGGATTGGTTTTCCTCGGCTTTCGGAGCAAGTTCAGATTATTGTGGACTGCTCCTCCCGGATTTGGAGCTCGGCGGCTTTGGTTGGCCTTCACGGCTCTCTCTGCCTTCTCGGTCTGCCGGACTCTTTGGTCCAATTTTTATTGGAAGAGGAAAGCACCGCCGGCGCCAGCGGACTCGGATTCTCCGGTGGCTTCTACGTTGAAGCACTCGGCAGAAGGGAGCGGGGGTGTAATTGCGTGAGTATGAATTTATTTGGTTGCGTATCAATATTTGTGGTTAGTCTCTTATTTGCCAATCTTTTAATTCTGTGTGTAACTGACGGTATTTGAGCTTGTTGAATTTATGAGGTTTCGTCGTTCGTCTAGACTCCTGTTATTGACATTAATGGTTTGCCTGTTGTTTTGCTTGGAAAAATCCTTGCGGCGTTGTTGAGGCGGAGTTAGAATTTTCTTGGAAAAATTTTTACATTCTAACTTTTTACGTTTAGTCTTTCAATTTTGAAACCAAGGGAGGGTCAATTGCTTCCTTCTTTCATTGCTCGATCCTGGTTGACTGTTAAACTATGAAGGCTTTGGGATTCATTGAACAATATCATTAATTAATACCCTCACTGA